TATATATAAGGAAAACAATGTACACCAAAATTTTCTGTTTTTTCTCTCTTTTTTCCTTTTTCAGTTAAAGATAGCTTACTGGTTTACCTCTGTTGTAGTGGAGCGATGGGTCAGACATGAGCTTCACAAAATCTGCCTTTGTTAATCCAAGCATGTTGACTGGAGCCGCTTGGTAACCAAATTTAGCTGTAGTATCTTGGATCCTGGTGTAAAAGCGTCCATAAATGTCCATTATTCCCCATGAGGGAACAGGAACATTTATATCACCGCCGATATGCTAGAAGTTTAAATGATAGTATAAAAGTCGCTGAGAAACTCAACACAATTAAACTTTCTAATTACAGCAGAGCAAATAATAATTCACCAATTAAGTTTGTTATTAAATATTTTTAGCTTAATGAAAAGCTAGAATTTGTTTATGATCGATGATTTAAGAATAGCTTTCTGCCAGTTCTTAGTCAATAGAGGTTTTGAAAAATCACGTAGTTTAATCTCTTGAACTTTTTTAATTCTGGTCTTCACTATGACTTTGCTTATCTATATTAAATCCTCTGATCAAATAACTTTCCCATCTATGCTTTATAATAGCCACGTTGTAAATCTTCAAGTGTATGTCTAAGAAGTAATAAAACTCGAAGATCTACGTAGAAAATTTAAAAGACTGTTTTCGACACTTCTGAGTGGAAAGTGTTTTATTGCACAGTAAAATCATGCCAAATTTCTTAAATATCGCCCAGAAATCAAGCTTTTTTTATCTGCTTTACTTTCCTTGTCTTTTATCTACTGATTATCTTGTTTTTTTGATACTTCGAGTTCTTCACCCACGGAAAAATTTTTATGGCTAAAAGATTCAAAAACGGCCTCTAACAATTTTTTAAAGACTACTTTTAGTTGTTGAACCGGTGTATTGTCAAAAGTTGTTTCACACTTGTATCTTTGCGCTAACCTTCAAATTCCATTTCAATGAATGGTTTCAGGATAGAGTAGAGTTATAATCCGCTGAAGCAAAAAGCAAAAGTTAGCT